TGGTAAAATAGCAGTGTTGAAAAATTTCCAGTTTCAATTATCGTGAAACCGTAACACTAAAGTTTAAATTATCCCGGCAGCCCCTCTCAGAGCGCTTAGTTTTTGCTGAAACACCAGAAACTCGATATCAAATGGAACCAAACACGTCATCTATTTCCTCTGGCAACTGTTACAATTAATTGTTTACTCATTGGGTGAGAATCATTTGAGTTAACATAAAATGGCAGCCCCCAAAAAAAGCAACATCGATCGGGAAAGGCTGCCATGGAGATATATGGGTTGCGTGTATATATTTTAATTGAATTACAAAAAAAAATCGCATAAGATGGCGCTGTGATATATTTGCAAACAATGTGGCATTACCTTATCAAGCTCATTAAAAATTCAGTTATTGCAAAAAGGTCCTAAGAAGAAAACTTACTTAACAGATCCGAGCCAGTATCATGTCGATCTGGGCTTAGCGAACCGAACATAAACATAGGCGCCGCTGGTCGGCGGCGGACACCTGGATCCGAAAATCCGCGGCATAATCGAGGTGTACTGAATTTTCTGGAAAAAAAGCAATTATACAGAGATACAGTAGCCATACCTACTGCAAATTTAGTTACCTAGTATAGGTAGGACTTAGATGCTGAGGGGAGGCAGCGCGTCGTTGGGCAAACGGCGAATGTGGAGGGACGGCAAATGGTGAGCGTCCACTGGACTGATTTTGCTCCGGAAGCTGAAAAATAAATATCTTGCAGATGCTGAAGTCACTCTCTCAATTAAAAGTTAAATTTTCAAAATCTCTACCACCAGCCAGACTGTCGGATCATTTTCTTATGCGTGCTAACAGCTAGCCTTATTTCACTGACTTTTCGAAGGTTTTATTGATAGTACAACTAGTTTTTGTAAACTGTTAAAGGTACAAATGGGTATCGTCTGGTAACCCACATTAAAGGCAGTTTTGTTAGTTTTTAATTTCACTGGCTTTCACCAAAGTTCTGCCCATCCATCCACAATGTGATTAATTTCAAAAGAAAAAAACAACTTTCATTACTCTATTTGAACCACGAGGACTCCCCGACTTCTCCCCTATTAACTCCCTTGCCCTTCCAAGCCTCATCCTAAACAACCGAAAG